AGGAGCGGGGAGCCGGATGGAAGAGGGGGACCCCAGAGCTGGCAGTGCCAAGGGCGGCAAAGATTAAACTTCGACACACTAGCAAGAACCAACTTTTGCCTCACTCACGATAGCTGTTGCTTTGCTTCATCCCCCGGTTTGAGCCCCACGGTGACTCGGTCCCCATGGCGAGCTGGTTGGTAACCATGCCGGGCGCCCCCATGTTAATACCTTTCATGGATTAAACTGCCTGGATTCTCCTAATAAGGCAACAACTTCAGAGAGGTTACTTCTCAGAAGGCCACACAGCCTGGAGTTGAGGAGGCTGGATTCGAATCCGGGCACGGCGTGCAGAGCCCCCGTTCTTAAATCCTGCCGTACTGCATGGGGGCCATTTCCCAGAGGTCCAAACTGAGCGTCTCTCCTAAAGGCACAGCTCGAAAGGGAGGGACGAGAGGCGGCTGATGGCGGAGCCCATGCTGGGTGTCAGTGGATCACGAAATGTAAAGTCCACATTGTAATCATCCAGATTCTTTCCTGAGAGAGAGAGAGAGAGAGGTAGCACCCCCAGCAGAGTCTTCACCTTCTGACCCAGCCCCAGCCACAGCTAGTCCCTGGACTTGGGGTCTTGGGCACACAGGTCCCTGGTGTGTGCAGGGGTCTCCGGACAAACCTGCACCTTCTGCTGTGGGTCAGCCTCACGGATCACACTCCCCCTGTGCCACCGTCCAGTTCCAGGGCTTGAACGTTTTTAAGATGTACATTTTTGGGGGACCAGTAGTTAGCGTAATGGCTATGTCGCCGGACTCCCACGAAGTCGACTGCGGTTTGAGTCCCGGACCTGGTGGCTTAAACTCACATCGGGCGCGTGTGCGTGTGTGCCCAAGATCTCGAGAGGAGAATGGAGGAGAAGGGATTACGGCGTGACCATCCCCACTGGGGGTTAATTTCTCGCTTTCTGACTCTCTGTCTCTCTCTGTCTGTCTGGCGAGCGCATGAGCCCTATAGCAAAAACCTCTCCAAAAAAAAACAAAAAAAAGATGTACATTTGGGCTGGTGGAGTGGTGGTTAGGGCACTAGCCACTTCTGCAGTTCAAGTCCCGGGCCCAGGTAAAAACAAGTCGGTATGTGCATGCTTGCCCAAAATCCAGAGAGGAGAACGGAGGAGGGACTGCTGAACCCTGGAGTTGGGGTTGGGGTCGGGGTGGGGTAGGTGGCTTGGGGGGTGCTTTCTCACATTCCTTCTCTCTCTGTATCTCTCTGACAAGCACACACGTCCTATTGTGGGAGGAAAATGTGCATTTTTTAGGTTTCTGGCATTGTAACACATCTTAAAGTGGACACCTAAATAACGGTCACTTTCGTGCCCATGACACCTTTGGTTTGATGAATTACGACTAAGCCAGGAGTCCCTGCATGATGTTTCTGGGTGTCTCTCCCCTCTATCCCACAGACTCCTCTCTGCCTCAATTGTTCCATTCTCCCCGGAGACCTGTCCCCAGAGGGTGGAGAAAGCTCCACGCTCTGCAATGGCAGTGGGACCGAGAGACTTGACCCTGAGGACCTGAACCTGACTTACGAGGCGCTGAGATTCAAGTACCTGGGGCCCCAGCAGACAGAGCTGTTCGTGCCCATCTGTGCCACGTACCTGCTCATCTTCCTGGTGGGCACTGTGGGCAACGGGCTGACCTGCTCCGTCATCCTGCACCACAAGGCCATGCGCACGCCCACCAACTTCTACCTCTTCAGCCTGGCGGTGTCGGACCTGCTGGTGCTGCTGGTGGGCTTGCCCCTGGAGCTCTACGAGCTGTGCCACAACTACCCCTTCCTGCTGGGCACCGAAGGCTGCCGCTTCCGCACGCTGCTCTTCGAGACCGTCTGCCTGGCCTCTGTGCTCAATGTCACCGCCCTGAGCGTGGAGCGCTATGTGGCCGTGGTGCACCCACTCCGAGCCAGGTCTGTGGTGACGCAGGCACACGTGCGCCGCGTCCTGGTGGCCATCTGGGGCCTGGCGGTGCTGTGCTCTCTGCCCAACACCAGCCTGCACGGCGTCCAGCAGCTGTACGTGCCCTGCCGCGGCTGGGTGCCCGACTCGGCACGGTGCATGCTGGTGCGCCCGCAGGCTGTCTACAACCTGGTGGTGCAGACCACCACGCTGCTCTTCTTCTGCCTGCCCATGGCCGTCATCAGCGTGCTCTACCTGCTCATCGGGCTGCGGCTGCGCAGTGAGAGGCAGCTGCTGCTCAGGCGGACGGCCAGGCACAGCGACGCCCGCAGGCTCCGTGTGTGTGTGTGTGTGTGTGTGTGTGTGTACATGTGTGTACCTTTTGGTTCGTCCTGCCAGAAGCTGACCCCAAGGATAAATGTTAGGATTGGCCACACAGTTGTGGGACCTAGAGCAAAATGAATATCAGGGTCCCTTTCCTGCTAATGACTAAGAATGTCAGCACAGCAACAACAGAGCCTGAGACCAGCCAGGCCCTTCCACGCTAGGGGCCCTGTGCAGATATGCAGGTTGCACACCCCCGCAGCCAGCCCTGGCTCATGGAACCACACCATGGGAAGGCAGGGGCATGTGACTGGGCTTCAGGATGGCAGAGCTGGGATCTGAACCCTCCTGGTCCCTCATCTTTGCCCCAAACATGTCTCAGTTCTGTTCTTCCTTACAGCAGCCTGGGAGGCCTAGCCCTGGCACACAAACCCCTTTCCTGGGGCACCACCCTTTTCCCTTAGCGACCACTAAGTCCCAGAGAAGAGTTCTGATTGGTTGGGCTTAGGCTATAGCCCACCCTCTGGGCCAGAATGGCAGACAGCTAAGGTGTGTAGCCCCCAGTGGAATCACAGGGTAGGATCTGGGCAGAGCAAATCCCCGAAAGGACAGGAGAGTGCTGGAGGCTAGGTGGCGAGTTTGCTCCACTTCCCCCTTCTGGTGAGCACACATGCCCTCTAGCAAACTTTAATAATAATAATAATAATAAAATACTTTTCCCCTCACTTTTGAAAATGACTGAAACATAAACATTTAAAACCACAGCTTCTGAAGAACCATTTGTTCTTGCCTATCTGTGTCTCTCTTTGAACTTGGCCTTTGCCTCCTGCCAGGCCTTGTGTTTAAGAGCAGGGTCTCTGAAGACATCCTTGTTGGCCACAGGGAATATCAGTGGTTCGTCCAAGGGAATATCCACAGAGTAGCTCGTGGGCACAAGGTGGCTGTAGTCATAAACCTTCACAAAAGACTCGATCTTTGACCTCTTAGGGATTTTCTTCTTGCCCATGGTAGCTGTTGTTTTGCGGGATTACCGGCCAATTCCAGCTAGGCCATGTCTGTGGGGTGGTCTGCGGTGCCATCATCCCTGTTCTTCACAATGTTGCCGTTCTGTCTGGAGCAGCATCTGGCCAGCGCCGGCACTACTTTCCTGGGTTTCAAGAACTTGCCCATTTCGACAACCCCCAGGGCCTACAGAAAGGGAAAATAAGTAATTTTTTAAAAAAGAAAATAGGGGGACCAGCAGTTAGTGTAATGGCTATGTCGCTGGACTCCCACGTAGTTGACCGCGGTTCGTGTCCCGGACTGGTGGCTTAAACTCATGCTGGGCGCGTGTGCGTGCGTGCCCAAGATCCTGAAAAGAGAATGGAGGAGAAGGGATTGCGGCATGGCCATCCCCTCTGGGGGGTGATTTCTCACTTTCTGTCTCTCTGTCTCTCTCTGTCTGTCTGGCGAGCACACATGCCCTATAGCAAAAACCTCTCAAAAA